CTGCTGTTGTTGTTGTGTTGGTTATGCTGACTGCCCCTAACCTCCCGGTCGGTCCTTGGTCTCTCGTGGAGCCTGACGATGTCCTTAGTTGACTGAGGCGATCTAGCGATCGAGGCCTGCTGAGCCCCAGACTCGCACTTCCCGATGAGGCCGATCAGGGCCCCTATGACGGTGCCCTGCCTGATCTTTCCGAGATACCCGTTGCCGTTGATCCACTTGTGCATGGCCTTCTCGGGCCTGCTCTTATACTTGATGGTGTTGTTGTGGCCCCTTAGGGCCTGGAGGATGCTGATCGCGATGAGGACTAGGATAAGGAAGGTGACCATGTGACTCTTTATCTACCCCTTGGCAGACATCACTTCTACAGGCCCCTTCTTGCACTGAAAAGCATCTGGAGTCAAATACGGAAAACTCTCAAGGGCGGACTGGGGCGCCACTGAATCTGACAGCTTCTGGATGATGTCCACCATCCTGTGGCCAGACCCCAGCTTCGTCATCGGGATCTCTGCGCCCAACCGAGACGACTGCATGACGATGCTCGGCAAATCTATCACGCAGCCCAGAAAATTCATAAGATTCAGGCTGAGAATATGTGGAACTTCTTCGGCAAGCACTGTTGTCCCGACGATCCCAAGCACTCCTGCCACACAGATGGGAAACAGAACGGCGCTCACTACAATTTGCAGCTCCCCCCACTCCGCGGGCGGCACGCGGTCGACGGAGTCGGATGGCACCTCCACGTACCTGAGCCCGACCTCTGCCAGGGCGCGAGCCTCCCGGTCGAGAGCATTCACCCCCACCAGATCGCTGCCCGCCCCAGGGTCGACCAGGCCCTGCACTGGACGCGTGACAATGAAGGCGTCGTCCTGGGCGAGCTCTTCCTCGATCCCCCCCCCCAGTCCTCGATCGCCTCCTGGGTGACAGACCTGCCCTCGAGAAACACGCCCCCGGTGAAAGTGTAGGCCGAGAGCTTCTGCCTGTCCGTCCTGCCGCCGCCATTGTTGGTAGGACATTCTCGAGCCCAGTGGCCCTTCTGGTGGCAAAGCTTGCACTTGGTGACCTTCATGCGCTGATCCAGGGTCAGCTTGGGAGACCTCCTGGGTCTCTGGTCCCGGTCACGCCCTCTGCCCTTGCCCCCACGTCCTCGCCCGCGATCGTCTCGACGGGCCTGTGATGAGAGCCGAGGTGGTGGCGGGATGTTGGACTCAGATGCTCGAGCACGACCTCCAAAGTATTCACGGTCCTTCTTCGCTGCACGCTTGATGTCTTTGTTCTGCTTCCAGGTCCTGTTGACTGGGCGCGTGGCGATGGCTGCCAGCGCCTCGTCGACCTGATCCTCGTAGAGGTTGAGGTCCTCCAGCTCTGCCATGATAGCTGCCTCATCCATCTGATCAACTTTCTTCTTCCTCGTCGTCAGTCTCTTCATCGAGATCCTCCAAGTCCTTGAATCCACCGGGGGGGGTGGAGGAGTAGGGCTGATGCTTATGCGTGCCGTCGGCACTGGGCTCTTCGTCCTCAGTGCTGCCAGCAACGTGCATTGTGCCGAGAGAGGCTCGGCCAGGCAACAGGCGCTCAGAGCCGGTGGAGTCCATCTGCTTCAGCGCCCACGAGACGCTCTCGTAGTCGAGCTGGCCGCGCGTGAGAGTGCGCAAGTTCTGGAGGCCTTGAGGCGTGAGCCCAGCCCCCTCCTCGAGAAGTAGTCCCTTCAGCTTTGATGATAACCACATGTCGTGACCCTCGGCTTCTTGAAGCTGAGCCTCCCTTCGACTGACGAACTGGATGAGAGTTTCTTTTGGATCACGACTGGCTTCGAACAGTGCCTTGCGTCCCGTGCGGCGGAGATGGTCTCCCTCTCGTTCTCGGATCATCATATCCATGCGACCAAGCACCGTCTCAAGCCACTTGTTGCTGCCGAGGGTGGCCTCTGGGACATCCTCGAACTTGGCCTGCATTCCCCAATCGAATAGCTTGAGAAACTTCTCTGCTCTGCGCCACATTTGTACATCTGTGTTCGTATCCCAGCGCGTCAGAGCTTTGCGCCATTGCCTGTAGTGACTCCAACCTGGCCACGCTGGCGGGTCGATAAAATCTCCCCTGCCTGATGAACCCCAGGAGTTGTTCCAGCCCCAGCCGTCGTCGCGGCTCCAGCTGTCGCTGGCCCAGTGGTGCTGCCACCAGCGGACCGTGTTGCTCTGGTCCTGGTCGAGCTCGTTGTCCTTCGTGTTGCCGTCCTTCTCGTTCTTGTTGTTGCTGACCAGGGATCCCAAGTTCCTTCCCCTGGTTGACTTGACGCCGCTGCCCTCGAAGCGGTCGCCGATTGCATAGTCTCCCTGACTACTCCGGCGATAATCTCCTTCAGCTGGTCGGTCGTCAAGCCCGCGGTGGCTGCACTCGGCTGTCCCTCTTGCCCAGTGATCACCGCCCCGGCGAACCCCTCGCCGCTCTTGTCCTCGCTCCCTGTCATGCCGTGGAACCACGCCAGTCGGCCTGTTCGGCGCGGAGGTCGCCTCAGAGCCGCCGAGCTCCCGTGCTGCTCGCCATGCCGGCGCGCAGTCGGGGAACCCCTGGTCCCGAGGCCACCGCTCCGTTACCAACTGTGGCAGCAGCAGCGGCAGTCAAAGGCTTTTAGACTTGAGCCAACGTGCGAACCACGGTGCACTCATACTGTCCTGCGTATGCGACAGTACAAACGATAGTGCACACACTACCGCAAATCAAGGATAAACGTCCACTAGCTAAACCTGTCGGTGAAAATATGGCACACATTCACACTCGGAACCTGCGGATCTGGCGCGTGGGCCCCGGATCCGCGGATATACATGGGGTCAGTGCCGCCTGATTTGGCGAAGGAGCGCGACGATTCTGCGCGGGCACGGGACCCGTCGCTAATCCGCATGTTGTACTCCGTGTTTCCGCCTTCTTCGGGGATCCACTGACCCGGGTCAATCTAGACACGGGCCAGTGAGAATTCTGCAGGATCCCGCGGGATCCTGCGCCCCCAAGCCCAGGTCAATGCAACCCTGGCTCAGCAAGATCCTGCAAGGTCGGGCGCTCTGACTGACCCCCGTTTGCACTGACCCCCGTCTCCTGACCTCCGAGTTTCACAACGTCGACCCCCAAAGGTCTGGACCCCTTCCCCAGAACGGGATTTTCATCCTAAGTCGTTCCGTAACCCGCCACTGGAGATGTGTGTATTATATATATATATATATATATATATATATATATATATATATATATTACGTGTTTCAATGTCCGATCTCTGGCCGACTCCTGGAAGCTCTGGGGGCCACCCACAGCGTGGACCTTGACACGGGGATCGCCCGCCATTTCCGCTGGCGAAGAGCTGCCCTCTCGCGTTGCGCCCGCGGGCCTCCCGCCAAGGGGCAAGAAGCAAGCCCTGCGCTGCCTCGGAGAAGCGGCACGCTTTGAGATGCCATGACATGGCGTCTCAAAACGTGGCCGGCGGCCCCCTCCCCCTCCCTACTCCTCTCTCCTCTCTCCTCCGCCTGGCCCCCTCCTCCTCCTCCTCCTCCTCCTCCTCCTCCTCCTCCTCCTCCTCAGGGCCCCGGAAGGGCCCCCTCCTCTGAGGGACGACCACTCACGCGGATGTTGCTCCCACCAGGCCACATATATTGGGCTACTCGTTCTTGTTATGTTCTGGCGCCATGTGTGGAGAGGACGGATCGTGTCGGACCTGTACTGTCCTTGAGAGGCACGCGACGCCTCCTGAGAGCCAGCACCCATCCCGTGCGAATCAGAGTGCTTGTCTTCAGCCCTGCGGCAGAAGCCCTCAGGATGGCGGAGTTTGGCTGCGTGTCGATTGGGTAGCGCGTCTTTCCTTCCACGACGTAGAGAATGAGATCCATCTTCGGTAGAAATTCACGGGAGCCTCCCATACCATCTTGTCGGCTCTTGCGAATCGACACTAATCGACGCTAAATCGACGCTATCCGACGAAAAATTGGCGCTACCCCATCGACTCCCAGACACTAATCGACGCTGACCGACGCTAAAGACGGAGTGAATAGGGCATACCGAATCATGATCAAAGACGCTCTCATGATTTGCTACCGAATCCATCAATTGAATCGCTCCAGCCAGTACCAGCTCCTCAAAAACAACCCCCAGGGGGTGTCTGGACCAGGGGGTATGGGCCAGGGGGACCGCGGGTCGTTAGCCTTTCCAAGATGGACAAACTGGATGGCCCCAGAGAGCCCAAGATTGCCTGCAGCATTAAACAAGATAGCACGTAACAGTCTCTAGAATGGGCTCTCAGAAGACTCACAGAGGCCCCGGGATCCAACGAGGTGGTGGAGAGGAGGGGGAGGGGAGGATTCGATTCCAAGCAGCCTTCGAGTGACCGCGCCTTTTGCGCGACCTTCCGCGCAGCTCCCACCGCTCGGGTATGTCAGGGATGGCCTGACTGGAAGGACGACGCCCGCCGAGCGTCGTACGCCCGGAGCGGCGGAAGCCACGAGCTCGCCGCCGACCGCCTACGCAGGCCTCCTACCCTCAGACCCTGGCGGTTCAAAGGTGACGGAGAGAATCCTGCCATCGCTCGGACGTCCACTCCCCGTGCGTTTGCCTGTTTCGTGCGCTTGCTTGCCGCAAGATGATCCAGGATGCTCCTCGATGGTCCTCGCCGAAGTTAAAAAAATGCACACGCCCGAGCGATGCCAGGACACTTGGACCTTGGACCCTGGCGGCTCAAGAGTGACGGGGAGAGCTGGCGGCGAGCCCAGGGAGGAAGGCGGAGGGGGCGGGCCTTCTCGGAAAGCGGCGGGGGTGCTGAGAACAGTTCCAGCCTCCTGAGATGTGACCTCGGTGCCGGAGGCCTTCTCCGCAGCCACAGAGGGCTTCTGAACTGCCAAGGCCATCTCCACGGCCGCAGAGGGCGTCCCAGAAGGCCGGAGAACTTATGAGAAGCCACGCCGCCCTCTGAGCATCTCACTCCCCCCTCGACGCGGCGCCGAGACAAAGAGAAAAGAAAACCTGTCCTGGAGCGCTCCTGGCCCGTGGCCATCGCCGCCACGAGTGATGTGGCCCACGGCTTCCCCCACCTCGGCTGGAATCCGCAATCCGACCGACTACGCACGCGCACTCTCGAAGTTTTCGATCATCCTGAGAACGTGCGTCACCGCCAACGTGCGTTTGCCCACTGAAGCCCTGAAAATACGATGCCGTGGGTGCAATGAGGGTCGACAAAAACGCTGCGGGCCATCGGCGGAGCTGAATGGGTAAACACACACTGGTCCAACACACGCCCTGAAGATCATCGAAACTTGTGTCCTGTCCGCTCTGCCCGTCAAGCAAGCACAGCTCACTGGTCATCGGCGGCGACGCGGGACGTGGTGAGAGAAGTCCGTGCCGCTGCGAAAGATATGCCCCGAGACTTTCCCCACCTAGGCCAGAGACCGAGCATCCGATTGACGCACGCACAATCACTCCCAGAGTTCGGATCCCGCCCGTTCTGCCCGTCGAGCGAGCATATGTGGCACGGTTCGGAAATGGGAATTACTCCGACGGTATGACCTCAAATGCTGATATGTTCGGCTTGGCTGAAAATATCCTCCTGCTCCCCCTTCCTACCCCATCGTGTCTTCTCCTTCTCCTCCTGCCTCATTATCCTGCCTCCTCCTCTTCGTCATCATCATCATCCTGCTAGTCCTCCACCTCCTCCTCCTTCTCCCTCTCCCTCCCGCCTGTTCTGCTCATGCACCTCTCCTTCCTTCTGGCCGAGTCACGCACGTCGACTTTCCTCGGCGCCCTCGCCGCCACGGCTGGCATGCGCGCGTTCTCCGATGGCCAGATCGCGAAGCCGTTAGGGCAACCCGTGGGCCAGGCCGTTGGGACAACCCTGTTGGCCGCTGGGGCGCGGAAGCAAGCCGTCGGGACAACCCCGCGGACCTCGAGCTGGGCGCCGCCGCGCTCAGGCGGGAGGCAGCGCGAA